TTTTACATGTATTTATTATATTTATCTACAAAATCCCAATAACTTTTTAAAAATAAAAATAAAATTTTTTATTTTACTATATAAAGTAGTGAAAAAATATGTAATTTAATAATGGTATTAAATTTTTTAAGAAATAATAAAATTTAAATTATAATATTAATCGTTGTAAATTAAAATTAGAATCTTGATCAATGTAAATTAAAATTATTATCTTAATTAATTATTACATTTGACATAAAATTTAAATTTAAAAAATAAAATATTGCAAAAAATATATGTACTATATTTAATATTTTTCAAAAGTTTAAAGAGCAATTTGTCATCACCTAGAACTAATTCCGATTAGTCCGTTAATAGAATGTTTGTGAGGTAAATCATTTTAAAACAAAATTGATAGTTTATAAATCATTTTGAAATAAAAAATTATTTCTAAACTAAACTAAAATAAATTACATAATTAATAGAGTATTTATTGAATTTACCCTAAAACTTGCAAAAAGTAAAAAAATGAAAATTCTGTCAAGCACCCCTAATTATTAGGTTCAAAACCTCCATCTAAAAGCTGTTGCCGCTGCCCCCTTCTCTCCGCTGCTCTTCCAAAGCTATTCTCGTTTCCTCTCCTCTCTACGTCTGCACTTGCATCCATAATGGCTGATCCCTATTCTCTCATCGTTATCCCTCTTATTCAGGAGGCACTCTCTATATTAGCTTCACCGCACGACAGTAGAATCAGACAACTCTGGAATTCAGGGGATTTGAAGAAGGAGCTGGAGAAGCTGAAGGTGTCGCTCAAATTGATAGAATCTGTGCTCAAAAAGGTAGATCAAATGCAAAGTGATGAAGGCACAAGGGTTTGGCTGCAGAGTCTCCACGATGCAGCTGATGATCTGCGTGATCTGCGGGATGAGGATGCATATGGAGTACACCGGCACAAAGGTTGGATTCAAAGCCAATTCAAGAAACAGGTGCACAATCTCCTTTTTCCCTCCAAATCCATGCTTAGCAAAATGAAGGAGGTTAATGAGTCTTTCCATAGAATTGTACAACAATCAAATTGTATAACACTGATAAAAGACAACCAAAATCTTCAAGCTCCTAGGCTAGAAGAAGCTGATGAATCAATTTATAATCCTGAAATTTTGCGAAGGGATGCTGATGTCTTAAAAATTGAAAGATTGCTGGATGAGTTCAGCCAGGAACATCAACTCTCTGGCCTTTCCATCGTTGGCATGCCAGGTGTTGGAAAGACAGCATTAGCTGGATCAATACGTGAGAGGGCAAGGAGTAATGTCCTCTATAATCATGTGGTCTGGATGTCGGAACCCGAGGATTTTAAAAGAGGGACGATGTTAAGACATATGTTGGACTGTGTTGATAGTCATGCTGGTGGAATGCAAAATTCCTATGCAATGGAATGCCATCTTGAAAAATTGTTACAAAATAAAAAAATTCTTCTCATCCTTGATGGTGTATTGAAGGAAGATGCTCAGAGGTTGAAACTGTTCATCTCTTATCTGCCAAAAAGGTTCAAAACTACCAGAATCTCTGTTGTCATAACAACTAGTAATAAAGAGGTAGCTTCAATAATGGGCACAATTCCTTTGCATAAGCATGAATTGCAAAAGCTATCAGATGAAGACTGCTGGTTGATAATGGAGGAGAATGTTCGCAGATCGTCCAATGGAACTCCAATAGAAGATCCACAGTTGTTGCTTATTGGAAAAGATATTGCAAAACAGTGTGGGGGTTTGCCATTAGTTGCAGCTGTCTTTGGCGAACACTTAGGCACTCATATTGGGGTAAATGAGTGGTCAGCTATCAGAGATAATAAAGCATGGCGTGCACCACATAGAGAGAAGATTCTGTCTCACCTGAAAAAAAGTTATGATCACTTGCCTCCCCACTTGAAAAAATGCTTTTCTTTCTGTTCTATTTTTCCAAAAAATTGTAAAATTAGAAGAGATGAATTAGTTCAGCATTGGATGGCTATTGGGTTTCTTTCCCACAGCAAATCAGAAACAGAACTTGTTGGTAACAACCACTTCAATGAGTTGGTATCCAATTACTTATTGGAAGACATGGATATGGATGAGTGTGGGAATATAAAGTTTTGCAAGATGCATGATGAGGTGCATAATCTTGCATTGTTTTCGGCAAAATATGAAACATATGTTTGGCCAGATACCCATCCAGTTGAGGAGAGTGTTCGGCATATGAGGGTTCAGTCTGATCAAAACCTTCAAGCTGTTCCAGAAGGTGTTGCTCAGAGGTTGCGCTCTTTGTTCTTTGATGTTAATGTTTTGCACATGATGCCTAAGAAGTCCAGAAGTTTGCAATCTTTAAAGCTAGCAGCTGCTGATGCAAATGAGTTGAAATCTTCTCTTGGCAGATTGAAATATTACATGAAATTCCTTGACATATCAGAAAGTGCAATTAAAAGACTACCAAAATCTGTCACCAAGCTCTACAATTTGCAGACTTTAAGATTCACGGACTGCAATTCATTGGAAAAGCTCCCAAGTGGTATTGAAAATCTAGTCAGCTTGAGGCATATTTATTTTGATGATGAAAGGCACGTGCCAAGTAGCATTGGGAAATTAACTTCTCTTCAGACTTTACCGCTATTTGTTGTGGGCACGGAAAAGGGTCGGAAAATTGAAGAGCTTAAATCTTTGAACCAACTCAGAGGAAAACTGAAAATTTGCAAGCTTGAGCTAGTATCTCAATCAGAAGCAAGTGAAGCAAGACTTGAAGATAAAGGAGAATTGATCAAGTTGCAATTTGTATGGAGTAAAAACAGAGCCAACAGTGACAAAGATATGGGTGTTCTGGAAGGTCTTCAACCTCACTCAAATTTGAAAAGCTTAACCATTGAGAATTATAGGGGAGGCAACTGCCCTTCATGGATGATGAAGGATATCAGTGGCTCACATGCTTCCTTTCAGCTTAACAGACTTGTGAAGTTGAAATTGATTGATTGTGATGAATGTGGTGATATTTCGTGCCTTGAACTCTTACCTGAGCTTAAGGTTCTCAATATAAAGGCAATGCCAAATGTGAAGAGGATAGGCAGAATGTCTTATCATCAAAGCAGCAGCATGGCAAGCAGCAGCCAAGGCGGGGGACAATCAATAAAACCGTTTCCAGCTTTAAGAAAACTCAAGTTAAGTCGCATGACACAGCTGGAGGAATGGACAGGGGCACAAGGGATGGTCGTGTTTCCTTGCCTTGAGGAGTTGCATATTCAGCATTGCCCCGAGCTCAAAACATGGTGCACAAGCAGCAGCCAAGGTCAAGGAGAATCAGTCCTACCATTTCCAGCTTTGAGAAAACTAACGTTAAGTGAGATGACAAATCTGGAGGGATGGAAAACAGCACAAGGCATGGTTGTGTTTTCTTGCCTTGAGGAGTTGCATATTGGGGATTGCCCGGAGCTCAAAACATGGAGCACAAGCAACAGCCAAGGCAGAGTAGATTCAATTACACCATTTCCAGCTTTGAGAAAACTTACTTTAAGCAACATGACAACGCTGGAGAAATGGACAGAAGCACAAGGCATGATTGTGTTTCGTTGCCTTCAGGAGTTGCATCTTCAGGATTGTCCAGAGTTCAACACATGGTGGGAAGATGGATCTGCATCTCCGAATCTCTCTATACTAGGCATACAATCATGTCCGAACTTGCAGGCTATCCCAATTGGGTTGTCGAAGTTAACATATCTTGATATAAATTATTGTCCCAAATTAATGGGGTATGCTCACCAAGACAGCAACGAATGGTTGTCCATTTGCCGCACTCGTAGGATCAGAATCAATGGGCAGATGGTGCGATCCCAAGGATCTTGATTTTTCAAAGGTATGTTAAATCTATATTTCTCAGTGCAATCCCTTCATACCATATTTTATTTATTTATCTAAATTAGGCTGATGGTTGAACAGTTACATTCATTTTATGATCTTAATATTTGGCTGAATCACTATTTTAGTACATCTATCATTTCAATACCTTCTTGTCCATCTGATCATATATTATCTCTCTCTAGTGCCCTTTTCGAGACAACAGTGGATAAGGAAGATACAGATTGAGGATTGAAGAAAGGAATATATGCCATACGAACTTAATTTTACAGAGGTAATTAGTCTTTTGCTGATTGCTCTATTCTTGATTAATCTAGGGTGAATTTCTTACCCTCTGTTTAAAGCAACAGCAAGTTATATGCACCATACTTCTATTATATATTTGTTTTATATTAATTGATAGTTAAGTTACAAGCCAAAATGTCTTTAAAAATCTACTAGGAAAGTTAAAGTGATGTTTTCCGGTGTAATGACATAATTGCAAGCAATTTCTTCTTTTATTGAAGTTTAATTTCTGATTATATAGAGATCACTTTATTGCACTCTTTCATTCATCTTGCTAATTTTGCTTCAGACAAAGAAGAAAAGAAGTCTCTTCCTATCAACTTCTGCTTCTCATTGGCCTTGGGAACTGTCAAAATATTCAATTTTGATGGAATGGAAGGTTTGTTAGAATTTGTTGAGACCTCTTTTTCTCCAGGAGCTGAGAACTGGGTTTTGCACTAATTTGATGCATCTACTTTTGCCGGGCCATGCACCCAATGCCTCTACAACAAACTGACAATCAAAGGTCTAGGTTCATGATTCTTATGATTGTTCCAATCAGAGGAAAGATGCATGTGAGGAAGCATTGGTGAATGGTCCAAGATTTTCCTGAATCCAAGAATAAATGGTCTTGAGAAGGTATGTGTGGTTTATTGAACATCTATCATTTCTTTGAATGTATGTTACCCAGTTGAGAGTTGCTTCACAATAACCCCAGTATTGTGTGCTCAGGTGCATGTCGTCCCTAATTGAAGCATGAAGGCATGAACTTACTGATGATGGAGATCTATTCTAGCATCTGCTTGTAGAAGTAAAATCAAATATATATGTATATCCAAGCAAAATGTTCCCACCCAGCAATTCTATGATTTTATCAAATGCAGCTCGGAGTTCATAGATAAAACTGGTGAGTTCTCAGATCGTCGTGAGTTTTTCTTTGTGACAAACCTTTTGGGTTCCAATTGCATAGCTCCTGATTTATTTTGTTTGGTTCTTATTTCGGACAAAATTCACAGGTCATCTTGATACCTCTCTAAAGGACTTCAGGCAAAAGCATCGAGTGATATTCAAGCCCTGGTAATGCTAGAATTCTTTTTGAAGATTTTATTATTGTTGTAACTCTTTAGTTCCATATGGAGAAGAAACTTTGTAGGAATGTTGTTTCCAAAGCGGGAGTTTCCATCTGGATTTCCACGTAAAAAGATTTCATCGTGTGGCCGAAGGCTGACGTTCATAGGAGATTCAGTGCGATCTGGAAGTTTGCAAATTCCCTTTTTCCTTTTTCTCTTTATGGAACACTGAGTCTTCATTAACAAATTTCAAGAAATGGAAGTCCGATGACAGTGAAAAACGTAACACTTTAGAACCGGTCAAGATTTCTATGGTTGATCTTCTTAGGGGCCGGGTGAGCATTCAAGATTGATATATTAATTATTTGCAAGTATTTTACAAGTATTTAAGTAAGTATATTATTTGAACAGTAAAAAAATTAGATGAGTAATAAGTATAAAAATAGTATATTTGCAAATATCAAGTCAAGTAATAACTATATGGATTTAGAATTATTTATTTGATTTGTTTAATTATTTTATTTAAGTGACATGTTTACATGTATTTATATAATTAAAATTATATATATATTTATTATACTTAATATTTATATAATAATAATTTTTAAAAATAAAAATAAAAAAAATACACAGGTAGACTATAAATAACAAATCACAAATCAAATACATATCCCACACACAAACAATAACTTTTTCCCCTTTTTGCACTCTCAGGTAATGGATCTTAGGTGACGGAGAGTATATTCAACTTCAAATTTTGATTCTTTTTTAATTTTTTTTCTTTTATTTTTTTGTTAATGATTTTCAAGTTATAATCTTCATTTATTATATAAATATTTTTTTTAGTTTCAGATTTTAAAAGAATGATGCAGTAGACAATATGCACTGGCAGTAAAAAATGATCCGCATATAATAAGAGGAGAGAACTCACCCCTAAATAAGTTTTTCTTGATTTCAGATGCAGTGGCACTCTTTGTTCACACAAAGTATACCATAATAATTCCTAGCAGACGTGAGCTGCAAGAGCAATGCTAGGGGCACCCGCCTCTTGCACTCTCCGCCCAACACTTCCACTTTCATTGGGCCACGTAAGCTTGTTTTAAGCTTTGAAATGCAACCTCTTAAAAACCAAGATAACGTGGCCAAATAAGAGTGCAAGTGTTGGCCGGAGAGTGCAGGAGGCGAGTGCCCTTAGCACTGCTCGAGCTGCAAAGAGAGTTGCCCCATCAATATCATTGTAATTAAGGATGCTATAGACACAAACGAGAAAGGAATTAGAAAAAAGAGGAAACCATGTTCAAAGTTTGAATACCGGCTAAATTCAAAAAATCATCTATTAACTTTCAGTTTAATTTCAGTTTCATCTATTATCTTTGAATTGTTTCAATTCTGTCTATTATCTTTCACATTTATTTCAATTTCATCTAGGCAGTTAAAGTTAACAGAAATCTTAACGGAAATCTTTTTAAATTTAGTACTCTAACTATGTTTCTTTTAATCTTTTAGTCCTTAAATTTATATTCACAGTAAAAATGGTTTTTATTCTTATTTTGCTAAATGTGTTTTTTCAGAAAATTATTTTACAGAACAGACCGCATTCAATCCACCCTGTAAAATTATTTAAATACCCTTAATTATATTTTTATATTATTTTTTCTTGAATATTTAAATAATTTTATGAGACAGATTGTACACAGTTTGTTCTATAAAACAGACTTATCTGTGAAATTTCTTATTCTAAACTTATTGAATTTCTTTATTTGAATTACAATCTATCTCTATAAACTATTTTTTGATTTATCATATTTTATTAGGATTTAAGTATCACTTTTTTAAAACTCAAAGGACTGCTTTTTTCTCAAATCTAACGGCAACCTAACGTCATCTTTGTATGGTAGACTAATTTGAAATATTCTTCAAAGTTTCTAGATCATTTAGAAACAAAACAAACTTTCTAGACTAAAATGAAATTAAACTGAAAGTTAGTAGATGATTTTTTGAATTAAGCCTTTGAATACCAGAGCCATGAATTGACCAGGCTGCACCTGCGCCCAGATTAATTAACACACAAACTATAATCTGCAAGTTTAATTATGTGGTTGTAGGAGTGTGAATGTGGAAAAGAAATAGAATCAATTAACACAGAGTGTGGACGATTTCATAGAATAAAAATTGATATTTTTCAAAACACAGATAAGTCTGTAGGAAAGATATATAAAACTCTTTTTTTTGTATTGTTTCCTATTGACTGTTATTGTTGAGTTCAGGAAACAGAGAATTGCAAAAGTTATATATAAATTATAAAATACCATTTTGAGGAGAATCAATCTCAATAATCTAAGTGGACTGCAAAAGGCCGCCGCGTGGAACCTCCTCATGCCATAAACAATTGGAATTGGAATTGAAATAGTGAAGAGAATAGGGGAGTGGAAGGAAGCTTCTGGTAGAGAGGAGAGAGAAAATGGTGAAGTAGTAGTATTAGTATTGGATTTAATACTTTAATAATAATTATTATTAAATTAATTTAAATCCAATCAGTTATCAGGTCTGGTTGGTTGGAGGCTTGGAGCTGGAGTGGAGGAGTTCGAACTCCCGACTTCCTCTCTCCTAACTAAACTCTACAGTAGCACACTACTCTGTGATGTGGGAAGGGTCACTTCACTTCAGCCACTCTTCTTTTTGCTAAATACAAGCTAAGCCCTCCAACTCCAACTCTCACTTGAGGGAGAAAAGAGGATAGCCAGGAAAGTGGGCCTGGGTTCTAACTTTCTTACTTGAAAAGATTTGGGCTTAGGTCCATTGGACTTAACAGGAACCGGATTGAGAAGAAAGGCAAAAGCTGAGCTACAAAAGCGGGAGAAGCTCTATGATTTCAGAAGCACTTATTAACACCACAAAAATGCCTGTGGAGGCAAACCCTTTAATTTCATATCCACTCATCTCTAGTCTCCTTTTGTCCTAAAACAACTACTCCCTCTCCCTCTCCCTCCCTATATATATATATATGGGGACAGAGCTAGAAATTTAAGTTAGGAGGGGTAAAAATTTATTATTTTTTGTGAATTATTTATTAGTGTATGTTAGTATAATTTATACTAATTTTTATATTGGTCACTAATTTTGTGTATATACTATTTAAGTTATGCACACAAAACTTTAAATTAATTGGATATATTTAGCTTTATTAAGAAAATTAGATACAGTTAACTATTTTTAAATGATATATACTTTAAAGTCCTTAAGTAAGTAGTATAAAAATAGTTTATTTTTTTGAATGATTATCTATATCGAAACAACTTTAAGTTTGAATGTATGATTTATATAAATAAAATAAATTCATCCATTATTTTTATAAAATATAAATTGTACAAAGAAATTATATTTA